CTGGCTATCAGGAACTACAGAAACTATGCAGGACACTGTGGGTAACATTGGAAACAGCTCCTAATCTTCCAAAAATGATGGTAATTATTAGACTTCTTATGCATTATTAATTCTTGTTGTAGAGGACATGTGAGGAAGAAATAGAATGGTATAAATCAGTCAAAGAGACACAAGGCTCAGTTGAAGTAACCTCTTATGGTCAAATGAACAATATTAATGAATATGGTGTCTATGAGATTGGGTCTTCTAAGAAAGGAATTTTAGTTAGCCGTTCAGAAGGTATTCATTTGAGGCTAAGAGAGTCCAAACATAAAAGGATCCCAAAATTATTCTACAATTTGGATGAGCTAAGGGATCTGGAGAGTAAGTTAGTACTAATAACTGGTACAGAAACAACGGAAAGAAAGCAAGTAGACTTATTTCTTGATGTAAGTTTATATTAAATGTATATCAAGAGACAGTCGGACATGGGACAATCTCTGACCATTTTGCTAAATTTGATCAGAATCAGCTCAAAGTTGATACACAATATGAAGGGCATGTATTTGTATCCAAAAAGGAAGAAATTCTCTCCCAACCATTTTTGACAAAAATTCTGAAAAATATCCAAGGCTATAGCCTTGGTTTTTTTTCAAAAATGGCTTCAATATCACCCCAAAGTTTTATTACATTTTCTGATGCATTAATGTCCTTTGTTGTGTAGAAAGTTTGAGCCAATTCTGTTTTTAATTTTTTGAATTATGGTAATTTTAAGAAAATGCCATAATTACCCAAGGCTGCCTTGGTTTTTTCCAAAAATTAGGTCAATGACCAAAGGCTTTGTCTTTGGCCAAATTTGGTGTCTTTTTTTAAATGGCCATACCTCACAAAATTGAAGTCAGAATTGGCTCAAACTTTCTACAGCATAAGGACATCAATATTTATCAGAAATTGTGATAAATGTTGGGAGTGATTTTTTGGAACCATCTTTTGATAAATATAGTGTTTGGTCATTGACCTGATTTTTGAGCAAATAAATTCATAAAATATCCAGACTTAACAGAATTTCCTCTAATTTTCTGCACAACATAATAATGTGATTCGGTGATTGTATACATGTATGTATCAGAAAAAATTATAAAATGAAAAATTCTGGCTTTGTGATTTTTGCCAAAATACCCCTTGCTCTTATAAAAGTCTTCCTACTAATTTTTGAGTAATTTAACAATCCACTGACAAGAAGCTGCATCAGCACTATACCCAAATTTTGT